GTTTGGAAAGTTCCCTAGGTGTGCTCATTCTGTGATATTTGATTTTCACAAGGAGTCCATATGCCTCTTTAAAAGCTCACTTTCCCCACAGGAGAGGGTCATTCACTGAAGGCAGGGTCCTATATAAAGCCTCTGTTATTTAATTTATTTTATTATTATTATTCTTTTTTTGATAAAGAGAGAGAGAGCATATGCGAGCAGGGTAAGAGGGAGAGAGAAAGAGTGGAGAGAATCCTAAGCAGGCTCCACACTTGGCGCAGAGCCCAATGCGGGGCTCAGTGAGGGGCTTGATCCCACCACCCTGGGATCAAGACCTGCGTCAAAATCAAGAGTCAGATGCTTAACCAACTGAGCCACTCGGGCACCCCTCCAGCACTCACTTTTTCTAAGTAACTAGCCCACATCATAATTGTTTCTAGTCCACATTATAATTGTTTCTCTCCAAGCCCCAAAGCTAAATATGCAGAAAAGATCCACTTACTTTTCTATTAATTTCAAAGCAAGTAGATCTTAAAATAAGGGAGAGGGACTCTTTTCCTGAATGTGCTTTTGATGAAATGTAGACATTCCTTGAGAAGCACTTCTATCTAGAAGGTAGCTCAGCCCCCACAGAAGCTGTAGCTATAAATTCATATTTATAAAGCAGGTGGGCTTTATTGTACCCCAGTATTACTTCTTTTTCTGATCCAAATTGGTATAACTTGTAATTTTTGACATAATAATGTTTTTCACTACATTTACAAGTTGTCCTTAAAAAAAAAAAAAAAAAAAGCAGAGTTGGGGCGCCTGGATGGCTTAGTCGGTTAAGCGTCCGACTTTCGCTTAGGTCATGATCTCGCGGTTTGTCGGTTCGAGCCCCGCGTCGGGCTCTGTGCTGACTGCCAGCTCAGAGCCTGGAGCCTGTTTCAGTCTGTGTCTCCCTCTCTCTCTGACCCTCCCCTGCTCACGCGGTCTCTCTCTCTCTCTTTCTCTCCTAGAAATAAATAAAACATTAAAAAAAATGGAACAGACACACACTTAAAAATGAGCAGAAATGTGGAACAACTTCAAGTAACTTAATGTCTGTATAACTGGAGTATTTGAAGGAGAGGAAAAGGGGTGAGAGAAAGATCATCAGAAAAACAATCTCAGCCTCTTCCCCCAAAAAACAGGAAGGGAAATTATAGTCAAAACCAGCTGAGAGCAACACTAACAAGAAAACTTTAAAGACATGTCAGGGGCAGAGGCCTCATCACACACAATGAAATAAATATAAGGATGACAGTAGATTCATCATCAGAAACAATGCATGAAAGAGAAGTGATTATCAGCATAGACTTCTATACCCAGTGAAAATATCTTTCCAAAAAAAAGGAAAATACTTTTTATAACCATACAAAAGATAAAATAATTTGCCCCTGCAAAACTGAACTACAAGAAACATTAAGAGAAGTACTTTAGTCACAATAAAAATAATACCCAAATGAAAATCTTGATTGGTACACAAGATTGAGTACCCCTAAAAATGCTAAGTGGGTAGATATAAATCCCTTTATCTTATAATTTAAATGTCTTAGATTCAGCTGTTTAAAGCAAAACAAAATAGTATGGAGTTTATAAAATATTTGGAAGTAAAATGTATGAAATAGAGAAATGGAAGTATAAAGTTGTAAAGTTTATAAATGTTATCCAATCCCCTTATTTGAGGGTAGGCTGTTATAAACTGAAGATGTATACTATATACCTTAAATCAAGCACTAGATACCACAACAAAGAG